GGGGGGGCACGGTGTTGTTCCAAAATGGAGAGACTGGGGAACATATTGTGCCTTATTGCAGCCATGATCTGAGCTGCCCTGAGTGTAACTACTGTGTCACATCCCGAGAGCTCCTGGGACACAGCAAGTGGGATTCAGAGTAGAGGATGGATTTAATAGTGCTATCCATGGAGCCCCCGTGACACACCCAGTGATATAAAGGCACACACTCAAAGCTGTTGTGTGCAATTGCACTCTTCTCTTGCACAATTATTGTGCCATAGGTTAACAGGCAACAGAAGAAAAATATGAGTAGGACGAGTAACACAGATTTTTATGAACTCAAACGTATGTTTATCAAAAGCAGGATGACACTGAAGGAGCATATTATTAAAGGACAACATAGCAAATAAGATATGGCTCATATATATCAAACATGGTCAAAAAAAGGGGGGCAGGTTCTGATTTCATCCTTAAGAAACGTTAGTGACTTGCACACTTTGGGCTGTGATCTCACATGCACTTGCAATCTGAAAAGGAGCAATGGCAGATTCTACTTACAGCGTATTTCTCCAGAGGCTCGATCAGCAGTGCATCGCCAAATATCGATCTGCAGTATTCTGCCATCTTGGCTTGCTGCTTCGGGCTGTTGTGGAGGACACATCCACACACAGATACGTTAAGAATCAGCATATTTTGCAACCTTAACCAAATTGTCAAAAAACCGACAAAGAATTACAAGTTCATTTTCTATGTGTCGAGTGTGCTCAGGCAGGTCATTTTCCTTTAAAGAATATTGTGTCATTCTAATAAAACCCCCAAGTTCAGTTTAACATGAAATTGCACTGTGTGATTTATTCTAGTAAGGATTAGGCTTGAGAACTGCTGAAGTGGCATGAATTAACTTCAGAAGCCACCAGGAAGCAAAAAATAATTCTATTTCTATGCAAAATGATTTGATTAATTTTTGCAGCAACGCAAGGGCTTGTTTGGGGGCAAAGTAGGAGCTTAAAGATGACTTATCTGGGTACTTATTTTCCTCCCACAGTCCAAAGCATGCATGTAAGTGTCTCTAAATTTCCCAGAAAAACTGAATAAGCAATTATTAAGGATGGATGGATGAATGGAAGTATGATGGAAGAATATGGAACTTTTAGAATGTTCATTTCTGGTCCATTGTACTAAAAAGAGAGCTTTTATGTTGTTTACCTCTAAAAAGTAGAAAATGATGCACATTTTTCATAGAAGAGAGAAAATGGTAATTAAAAGTTAAAATGATTATTGTAAGTATGCACAAGGCAGGGAACACCGTGGACTGGATGCCAGTCCATCACCGTCCCTTGCTATTAGCATTCCTGAAGATCAGGGAAGGTATTACTTCTAGGCTGTGATATGTCATTTACCAACGGCTAAAATTCTTATGCATGACTGCTTGAGACAAATGACAGACTATACAATAGGCACCACTGGGATATTTTCAATGCGGTTTCAATAGTAGTGCATTTTCTTTTTTTCCAGAGAAATAAGGTTTCTTTGCTTAAGAACATAACAACATAAGAAATTTACAAACGAGAGGAGGCCATTCGGCCCATCAAGCTCATTTGGGGAGAACTTAACTAATAGCTCAGAGTTGTTAAAATCTTATCTAGCTCTGATTTAAAGGAACCCATGGTTTTAGCTTCCGCTACACTAGCAGGAAGACTATTCCATACTCTAACTACACCCTGTGTAAAGAAGTGCTCCCTCAAATTTGTTTTAAAATGTTCTCCCGCTAATTTCCACTTATGGCCACGAGTTCTAGTATTTAGACTAATATTGAAATAGTCATTTGGCTGAACAGCATCCAGACCCGTTAGAATCTTATAGACCTGAATCATATCCCCCCCTTAGTCTCCTTTGCTTGTTTGTTCATGTGTAATCAAAGAATGAGATCTGATCAAATAAGCACCAACACCGCTTGCAAGGTATTCTGGGAAGGTCTCTGAGGCACTGGGACAGCTACTATAAATGGGGCACTGCACTGGAAATTACTAAATTGGAGTCAAAATTGGGGATGGGGACATGGGTGCATATTTCACAGAGTGACAGTACAGTGTTGAGCTGTCTGTAACCTGTATTAAAAACTGCAATGAAAAGCCCCAGAATGCCAGGGCGAGGTGAAATTAAAGATGAAATGAGGTTCTTTTAAGATTTTACACATTATAATCCAGCAACAGAGAAATTACCAAAGCTAGATGAGTGCCCTACATTACACATCAACTTTATGCCCGATGCTCTCAGGAAAAGTGACGACAAACTGACGTTAACTGGATATGTACAGTAATGAAAAAAAATGAGGACACCTAATTTAATATTTAGTTCTTTATTAAGGAATACCAACATATCAATATTAAATCTTCTTTCAAATTATATCTGTAGATAAAAGTGATGTAATTGTATCATATATGCAAAAACAAGAAACAAATTCACTTATTTAAAAGAAGAAATTAACTATGATCCCTACTGAGGAAAGTGTTAAAACATCCTCACATCCATTACTATTTAAAATGCCTAGAATTAGATTCTGGTCACCACATCAGATGAAAATTATTAGAGCATCATTAAAGAGCTTTTTGGTGGAGCCTGTATTATTTAAACCATAGACATTTAGTTTGGTGTGTTCTTGATTGTTGAAGTGAGTGGTATCACTATGGTGAGATCCAAAGAGCTCTCAGAGGCCCTCAGAAAGAAGACTGTAGATGTATATGTGTCAGGGAAGGGATATAAAAAGATCTCAAGAGAGTTTAGAATCAGCCATTCCACTGTCTGGAAAAAAATTTACAAGCAGAGAACATTTAAAACATTTGCAACATGGGCAGGGCAGGCTGTCCTAGCAAGTTTAGCCCAAGAGCAGAACGCAAGATGCTGAAAGAAGCCTCCAAAAATCCTAGAATGTCATCACGGGTCGTACAAGAAGCTCTTGTCACAGTTGATGTCAAGGTCTTTCTGCCAGCGATTTCAGAGACTGAAATGTCTTATTGAGCTTATTTCAGAGGGGGACATACTGGGGACATACTACCTATTAGGGAATAGGGTGTCCTAACTTTTTCTTCAGTAGGAATAGGCATCTATGTTAATTTATTTTGTTAAATAAGTGAATTTGGTTCTTGTTTTGAGTGGATGAAAAAAAAGTTAACATTATTCACCTCATATAGCCATGAAAGCATACAAATAAAAATATCAAAGAATTAAGCGGGATGCTGGCATGATTCAAAACTAAATCACTGTATCAACACTGCATTGATCACGCCAACAACAAAGATTGGCAGAAAAGAAACATGCTATTAATGTAATACCCAGCACATGTAACCTGAATCCCTGTGGTACATTTCTGCAGACTGACATGGAAGATACCATAGCAGGAATAATTGTATATTTTCTCAGGGAAAGTGGAGAGTAGCCAGCTTATAAATCTGTGGAACGCAAAAAAATTTGGTCTACCTACTTCAGGTTTGAAGAGAAACACCAGTATGGTAAAATAAATGAATGCCTGCAGATTACACAGAATAAGATCAATATTCTCGTGGAAAACTGCAAACATACAACAGTAGCCTCAAATACCTTATTAGTGTCACACCCCTTCCATTCCTGTCTTTTTTACTTGTAAAGTTTATTTTTTAAATAGCACAAGATGTTCATATACTAAGTAACTCAGTAGAAAAATCTGGTTAATAGCTGTGAAAAAGGAATTTAAAGTTGTAAATAGTCATTTGGTTTAGTTCATCTGTAAATATTCAATAAATATTTATATAAATTTTTTAGATAAAGAATATTTATTGGAGGTACTGTAAGTGAAAAGTACTGTGTAAAGAGAACAAAGAGCTAAGTTTGGTGATATGGAAATGTAGGCTCAATAAATATTTAAAAGCATGGTTTGTTGAGTTTTTGAGCAGCACAAATCCCAACTCAAGGGCAGTTGCAGTGGCTGAAGGACAAAACGAGGAATGTACTGGCAATTCATCCATCCATCCATCCTTATGTCAGTCTGACTGAGAACCTCTGGCACTGCTGCCAAAGTTGGTTCTATGAAATAGTACCATGTGGGAACTGAATATTTCAGCGAACAGCAGAATTTTCCTTAAGAATACTTTCTAACATGAACAATGCCACTTTAAAATAATTATATTTTTCAGGGCTTTTGAATAAAAAGAGAGTTAAAAGATATGCAATTCAGTAAAATGAGACAGAATACTTCAACCTCTCCTTTGGCTTTACTCTCGATGTCTCATTTATTTGATGGTCAAAGAATATAATGACTGGAAATATAACACGATAAAAGGCATGTGTCAATGGAATGTATTTATTTATGCGCCACCCAGTGGTTGAGCACGAAATCCAGTAGAGCATGTGATAAGCAGTGTCCAATAAGGAAACAATGCTTCATTATGCAGTGCTACACTCCCTCCAAGCCTATCCATCTTCCAACTACTTAACCTGGACAGAGGTGTAGAGGGTTTGGAGAACAGCAGCACTGGGGACAAAGCAAGGGTACACCCCGGCGGTGGTACACACACTACGGGTAATTTAGAAGTGAAAATTAAGCTAACTGCATGTCTTTGGACTGTGGGAGGAAATTGGACTACCCAGGAGAAACCCACATGTCACAGAGAGAACTTGTAAACTCCACACGCAGAGCAGAGATGGGATTTGAACTCTCCAGTCTGAGACAGTAGTGCTAACCAGTGAGCAACTCACAGCGATGCAATTATGTAAAGAATGAATAAATCATTACTGAATCATTATCCAAGTGTGACCTCTCTGCCCCATACGGTCCATGTTTAAGTTAGGCTTCAGCTAATACTCCCATACCGTCCATGTTTAAGTTAGCTAATACTCCAAGTTACTGTGGAAGAGTGTTGGTTGGAGACTTACGAATCCACGTGGTTTTCGAAAGACAATATTACAGGAAACGGGGAGGTTTTGAATGCACATTCAGCGATGGCCTCAATCACTTCCTATAAAAAAAAAATAATAATAATAAAAATGACTTGAGTAATGTAATTTCATTTACTTTGAATCCTTAATAGAACAACTACATTGTTCTTCATATTTATTAAGCCTGTTACATCAAACAAAAAACTGTGAGATTATGACTCAACAGCCGTAAAATAAACGATGACAGATTATCATTCATAGCAATACGGCGATAAATAAATGGCTGACACAGATTTCTTGCCCCTTGTAAATTTTCTGATGCTGCTGATGTCTCATGCAATTCATTATATCAAATCATCGCTTCTTTTTCTCTAATGGGAAACTGACTAATTAGACACCTACCACTCCAGGCTGCTCTTTGCCTATCGGTAATTAAAAATCTATTTGTATTCACATTTGAAAACCAAAATAAATTAAGCAGAGGACCTCAAACAAAATTCACGCTACATTTCAACAGACAGCAAATTGCTAAAATGAAAAGGATGACGACAAACTGTATTCGAGCAGAATATAATGAAACAGACCAGAATGCAATGACGGGTTGAATATTATGAGACTGTAACTGTGAACAGCATCTGAACTGAAACTTTCATTTGGAAAAGGCAGAGGTCTGTCAGCCAAAATCACAATTACTGCCATAACAAGGACCTCATTAAACCAGAACGACATGCCTTGACTTCGCATTGACTTTGCATTGACTTTTAAGAGTCTGTCCACGCTTGACCTCCCCCGAGTGCATGGGGTCGTGACCAGAGCCTCCGATTCACCTTAAAGGAGATTTCCGAGGTCATGGTGAAGCCATGTGTGATGACGGGCTCCTCTTCAGCTGTTCGACCTTTCCAGCAGTCCAGCTCCACACAGCGGCAGCCGGCGAGTAGGACCTGCCTGTACATCTCCACCGAGGAGTTCCCAGCCAGCTGGCCAGCTGTGGAGGTATTCATTCATGCCTCATCAAACACTTTTCACCGGCACCTCCAAACTTTAACTCTAAGTCAGTGGTTCTCAACTGGTTTAGGCGTAAGACCCATATTTTTTTAACCATACATCCAAAGAAAACTGGCTCACCAGTTGAGAAACAATGCTGTAAGTGTGTAAATCAAATGGATTTGCTATGGAAGCAGTAGATTCTAACACCAAGACAACCTCAACGAGAGACAGAATAAGGGTGCTTCAACTCCCCAGAAGGAAAACTTTAGTGAATGTTGTCCAGAAAATTATTTAAAAAAAAAAACACAAAAGTACAAGATATTAAAATCACTGTGGATCAGATAATCTAAGAATTTATAATACTATAGCATTATAATACTGCCTTCATAGGTTTGAATCATTCATATATTCTGTGTTTATATTTGTTGCTACAAAATGTTTGTTTCAAGTGGAAATCAATTATAGTGGCACTGATCATACACTTTTCATACCAAGTACTCCACTAGCATTTGTCACAAACATGTTCATAACAATGACCCGCATTGTCCAGTTCTTATAAATATGGTGTAGAATATCTATCATTTATATACTGCAATCCAAATTCATCCTTCCATCTACTTCATTTATGTTCAATTTGTCAAATGAATCTGTTGACTGATCATCAGATTTTTGATATTGTATCGCAAATGCTTCAGATAAACACACAGACGGCAATGAGGCATCCTATCTCTTAACTGCCACAATCACATTTAACTTCTTTGCATCCGTCGGCAGTGGACTGACCTGACAGATAAGTGTTGTGTGAGGAATTGATGAAGTAGTGCGAGAGAGGAAAGGTCATGTCTTCACTCTGGTCCAGCTTCTCGGGAGGGATGACACCATTTTCTTCACCCACAAGATATGCAGCAAACCCCTCCACGGAAATCTGTCCTATAATAACAATAACAATCAACAACAGGCTTTAAAAAAAGTCATGAATATAAATCAAGTTCTTGGAACTGTACTGATAATGGTTCAAAAGAGTAGACTTTCCAATCCATTGATGTAACGAATCAAAATACGCAACAAAATAGCCGCGCACCATGATATTAATGGCAAAACAAACACAGAAATATTTTTTTCCATTAAATTCAAATTCTAATTTTCTTTCACTCGCTGAATATTTCATACTGAAAAAATCCCGCAGACATGGCACAAATGTACTTTTTATTGGAAGATCAATACGTTTCTCACAGGAACTAGACTAATGGTGCTAAGCGCCCAGTGGAAATCCCCTGGTGAAAAATCCCATTGTCCAATTGATAGTAATTATAGCAGCCTTTTCCTCTTAGGAACTCTGAGAAACCAATTGGCTTTTTTTTACAGTGGAGTTTTCTGTGGATAATATGGAAAAGACGCGTACTTAGACTTAATTAATTCAAACATAAGCTGTATAAATATCTTTGCAACAAAATATTTTTTTGACTAAAGAACAACATAGTAATTAGTAGAACCTGATCTTTTATCTTCTGAAATATCTGGTGAATTTCTTTTTTTCTTTCTGCTAGCACGTCTGCCTGATTGTGACTAGGCCCTCATGTGGTAAATAGCCTTCTAGCTTTCAAAACAAAGCTGAGCACTTTCGAGCTGATTCTGCTTTTCCATGCTACCTGCAATTCACATAAAACTGTACAAGGAAAAAAATAAAATGTCTTTCCAGTACACTTCAAAAAGGTTGCTGCTTTCAGCAGAAGAATGAGTTCCTGCTTCTGACGTGAATACAGCCCCTAGTCTCCGGAGATGTGGTAAGACTAAAAACGATAAATTGTAAAGGCTCTTTGTTTTCTGCACTGTACTCACACAGATTCTGAAATACACTGCCGCCATTTTGTGTTCAGTTTGTTGTGTTTTGTTTGGTTATATGTATGTTATTTTAGATGAATATATATAAATACAGTAAAAAAATGCATGACAAGTAAAACTAGAGAACCATGGAATTTTATAATGAAAGATAAATAAAACAAAGAGTTTAATGACTTTATTATTTATTATTATTATTATTATTTATTTGACATTAATTCCTTGATTTGTGATCCTTTAATGACAACAATAATGGCACTGCGTGTTGTACTTTGTATAACTATGTATGTGACAATTAAAGAATCTTGAATCTTGAAAATAAATTTTTAAAATAATAAATGCAAGACACTTGAGTATGTTCTTAATCTACAGTACATATTCAGGTGCATAGACACTGGAGTCCATGGACTTTGGAATGTTTCAAAACATAAACGAAGGACAGTTGAATCTGTTTCCATGGGGATTAGTTCAAGGACCCCCACAGAGACCAAAATCCACAGATGCTCAAGTAATCTAGACATGGTAGTATTTGCATATAATCTATGCACTTCCTCCTGTTTACTTTAAATCATCTCTAGATTACTTATATTACCTAATACAATGCAAATAACAAAGGAAAATACAGCAGCCAAATAAATGACCTGATAATGTAAAATATAATCGGCTTCCCTGCCTTCACTCTAAAGCAGGGGTGTCAAACTCCAGTCCTGGGGGGCCGGAGCCCTGTGTAGCTTAGTTCTTTCCCTGTTCCATCACAAATGATTCAGCTCAACTGCTATGTGGTAATTAGCACAAGAAGTTTAATCAGGTGTGTTAAACGAGGGGAAACCCAAAAATGTGCAGGGCTCCCTGCCATCCAGGACTGGAGTCTGACACCTGTGCTCTAAAGACTCGGGGTTGTATACGGACTTTTAACCAGTGTCCTTCACACAGTAAAGCAGTGCGGGTAAACGAGAAAGGAGAGTATCTCTGGCTTTCAGCCCGACCAATACGGTCCACCAGAACGCTAGAGCGGGAAAAAATTACTCAGGCCACGTTACTTTTCAGACAATCCAATCTCGGACCGAATATTTCGGCACGTAGCAAAATCAAAGTTTGCTTTTTGGAACTTTCTGTATGTTTTTTTCCCCAGAGTATTTTTGATCAATGGTTGGTTAAATTTGCTGATGGGGAAATGGCAGATACAGAAGGCTTACTGTATTTCTCTCCTGTCAGCAAGGGTCCAATAGTGAAAACCAATAAATAAAAAAAAAGGTAAATACAGAATAGTGTCATGCAGGCACTGACCTTTCTTGACAAAGCTGCTGTTCATTTCGTACTTCTCAATGAGCAGCTGTACTTGATCAGGTTTCAGTGGTGGATAGAGGATCTCGTTGAGCCTGGGGTCGCGCTGTTTGTTGTTTACGAAATCCGTCATCTCCTCCACAGTCAGGTATGGCCGGCTTTTGGCTCCCCTTCAAGGAGATTATTAAAGACACGACAATGTCTTGTATGCAAGAAAGGACAGGAATTTTTATTTATTTGTTTCATTTTATTTATATTTTTTGGAGTGGATATATTTAGCCAATGTCAAACTGATGAATTCCCAAACTACGCTGAAAGAGCCTTTCATGGAATGTTCTGAGGCTCTCTTTTCGATTCCAGTCTACATTAAAAATAGTTGTCCAGTCAAACCCCTATGGTATTATGTCAACATTGAGTTACTGATCATAGTTATTAATAATTACTGCAATATTACTTCCCAGACAGAAATAGAGTATTCCTATTGGACCTTTCATAAAATATAAACACAGATTTAGTAAATTTCCAGTAGCTTTTGTTTCTTTTGCTTATACGTATTTCTTTTGATTTAGCAAGACTTACTGATCTGAAAAGATCTGGTTGATCTCTGGCCGCGGACAGATGTTGTTCAGGAAGGTTTTATATGCATCGGGGATGAAGTCCTCTTGAGGAATGGAATCATTCTAGGCGCAGAGCAGCAGATTGCAAACTCTTAAATAATCTTTGAAAGTTCCGACACAAATGTCTGCTTGTTTTAATGCTGCTGATTTGCATTTTACAGACTTCTTGCAGTTAATCTGATGGATGGGACTCTGCTACCAGAAAAGAAGCATGATGATGATCAAGTAACGCATTAAACATGGAGGCACTGTGATGACTGAAAGAAATACTAATTAAATGAGGTTCACTTGAGTCAAAAGAATTATGAGGGAAAATACTTATTCATAATCTAATACATGGGAACGACCCCCAAAATAGCAGTTCCAGAGACTTCCCCCACTAAAATTATACCAGTGATCATCCCCCAACATATTTTGTGAACCGGCGGGGGGGGTGGTCCCTCATTAGAATTCAGTAGTTAAAATTGGATATTTGCACCACATTTTTGACTTTCATACATTTTCTGCAAATCATCTTGTGACACCCCCCCCTCCCCCCCATGCACACACATTGCTGTGAGTCTGAAGCCTACTGTACAAAAACAGGGCACTAGGCAGAAACGCCTATTCATCCTAGGGCACACACACAATAACACACTATGGGTGATTTACAGACACAATATTGTGTCTTTGAGACTGTCAGGTGAAAACAGCACAGACTTGAGGAAGACATTCAAACTCCATCCACACACAAGGGGCTACAAGCCAAACGCCCGACCCCTAGAGGTCCAAGGAAACAGTGATACACATTGAGCCACCCAGCATATTTAAAATACTAATACAAAAACAAATCACATGTGGAATGAACTTATTGCTCACTCTGCCAGACGGGACACTGCAGCTCTCCAGGGCTGTTTCTACACGCTTTCTGTCTGCAGAAAACATTCGATGGATGCTACAAAGAAACAGAACACAAAATGCAGTTACAGTACAGATACTGGAACTATCTTCAGATCATTGTTTGGATAAATTACTGATATGTGTAAACTTTAATATAATTTGAAATTAAACTTTTTAACTAAATAAAATTTTCAGAAATGAATGGTCCTGGTATTAAAACAAGAAAAAAAGCATTAAAGAAATATAAGACTTACTGCTTCACAGGGATGCGACCTTCTGGGTTGAGTTGCAGCTTGAGTCTTGTGTACCTGTTTTCATCAAATTAATAAAAGCATGTCATGGAATTTACAGGCAAGCCTTTAATTTAAAAATCATAGTTGAACTCCATATTGGATGAAAATGTTCTGAAGTGTAGAAAATGAAAATAAGGGAACTGGTGTAAAAATCTCTGAGACTGTTGTTATGTTATTTGAAAAGTTGGCCACCAAGGGTCTATTAGCTGTTACTCCATGTGTGTACAGAGGTATAGGTGGCTGTCTACTCACGCTTTCTCCAAAGAGGATTCCCTGGGCATGTTCTGTGCCAACAGGTTGGTCGCCAGGCTAAACAACTCATCCGCCCACTCCTGAACAGTGAGAAAGCAGAGTGCGACGTAATTGACGTAAATCTCAGAAATCGCACGTTTATTTTAAAAGTCTTCAATGGTGATTTCCAATTCAGTCAGTTTTACTGACAATATCCGGTAACCTCTTTGCAGCATTTTTTTAAAAAGGCAAATCATCTCAGCAACACTAAGTCAGTAATATGCATCAGTTACAGAATCCTGCAGTTCTACATGAAAAAACATTATTTCTAAACTGTTCATTTTTAAAATTATGCACCATTGACCTTCATATCTATCTGTCTGTTTAGCTAGATGTTTTTAATACCTTTGCGACTTCCTCCTGAAAGGCCAAGAAGTTCAAGTAACTAATGTTGACCATATCTGGGCCCGTCACCACGGTCAGCATCTTGTTCTCTATCCGCCCCACCAGGTTGCCCACATCCAGCAGCTCACGGAGCTTGGCTTCCTGAAAGCAAAGAAACAACACTTTGGAAACTGCCAGATTCTCCCTACTGAGCAGTATGTAGTAAAACACTATGTACTTATGCACTGAATTAACATATGACACCTGGAAGAACAGAGAACTCAAGGAAAGAAATGAAAATTTTGGAAAATACAATAAATCATGATAAAACTTGAAGCAATCACGCCGTGAAAGGCACTATATAAACACAATTTAACAGGACGATTCACATGTTTTTCATTTATTATTTCTGCACTGCTATGTAATTCGATTACATCGTCTTTGAATTAACCAAACTGGAAAGAAATCTGTTTTACTCATGAAACTGAACCATAATTTTCATCTCAGAAACCTAAATGCATTACAGAAAAAAATATATACAATGAATGGCTTTTTACAGGATTCATCTTTAAAACTGCTACATAGAAGAATGATTTTAAAACATTATTGTGTTGACCCGTAACATATGTATTTTAATTATACCTTTCAGCAAAGCTCACTGCACAATGCAAAGATGGCAGCTACTAGAGTGGCAATCAGTTACAGACCATAGTATGGTGAGGCTTCATATGACATGCTGAAAAGGTGAAAATTTGGTCATGAAGTAGGTCATAGGTTTAAGTCCTAATGTTGTAATTCATTAGTTATGAAATGCACACTTTATTATACAAATAGTTAATATGTACATATGCAAACAAGCAAAAATGTACTAAATACAATGTAAAGTATTAATGCTGAAATTATAAACAGAGCATGTCTGAACAGAGCGATAGTGATCCACTGACATACAGAATAAGACATGCAGGCTGGACGAGTCATTCTCAGAAGACTGTCTGTCAAACCCCAGTGTTCATCATTCTTACGTGTACTGGTTGAAAGTCTGAACGGCCAGAGAGAAAAGGGAAAGGGTTCATTTCCGTCTCCGAGGGAGAGACGCCCTTCTTCTGGGTCAGTGTTTCAGCACCATTTCTGATCTTATTGGAGATTTTGACAACTAATTCAACACCCTTGAAGTCAGAACTGGGGAACCATGACGTTTGGAGCTCTAGAGAGGAAAATGGTGGGGTGGGGGGTATCTAGGTGAGGCTTTGGGAGTCAGAGATAATTAGAAGGGCTGCTGATTCACAGTGGGGGTGATGGGGGTTTAGGGGTAGAGGACCTGGAGTGCCTTGTTGCTGGCCAATCGGGTCAGAGGAGTCTGGAGCCTGAACTCTACCGTGTGATTAGATGTTCATCATAAGGTATGCCACTTCCTCTGGGTGGGTGCTGGAAGTCGTTCAGAAACACCCCCCCCCCCCAATGACGACAGAAGGAGCTCCGTATCCACATTCATTCATCCGTTTACTACTTGGCTTCCAAAATGTCGGCTCCTGTGTTGAGCTGCAGGTGGGGGCGATGGCGAGGGGGAGGAAGGTTTCGCTATCGAGTTGTCATTTCTACCTACTAACATTTACTTCTGGAGCTCCTTCTTCGTAAGAAGATAATAACGTTAAACTTACTACTCCTCCATCAACAGCCAAAGGGTGAAGACAATCAGTATAATTCCACTCTAATTATAATAATGTTGAATCCTATTGCTATACCTTTGCTATTCCTGAGCTTTGAAAGCCTACTGAATCTATATCATGAGCACACATATGTATTCACAATGGAATCGATCCTTAATATTAACTAAATGCAAGCATTGTAGCTGTCACCATTATTAGGACTGTATGTTTATTTTTAAAGCAGCTGGTTAAAATTTTGTACATTTTTGTCAGCTACAAATATCTTAGGATGCAGTTAAATGTGAGGCAGAGCTATTAAAAGCATTGCAATTATAGATGCTGCCTTTTCATTAAGCGTTTGTATAATAAACAATGCAGAGACAAAAGCATAACTCATCGAGGAACCAGAAAAGCAGTAACTAAAGAGATGCTTATGCTGTCTGATAGAATCAGTTAATCTTTCTCAGAAACTGAATATTTTATTGCGCTTTCAACAATACAATAATTATTCAGGGTTTCGACAAAACATTCTGATTTTAATGCAATCTGCTAGCTTTACAGAATTTTTATCTGAGCGCAATCTGAGAAAATTGAAAACCATGCTCTCCTCACACGTCTCCGGGGAGGCCTGAATATGATTAAAAAGACATATTGGACCCTAGACTCACAAAAGGTTCTGGAAACTCATTGCTAGTGATCTCAGCCTGGCCTAGTGGAAGGTCCATAATCAGCAATTGAGTACATCAATCATTTTTTGCATCGGCGAGGCAAATTCATTCTGGCAGGGTCAGACCAATAAAGTGAGTTTTATAGGTAATCACACAATTGCATAATTACACAATCACCCAAAGAAAAACAACGTGAAAGGCGATGAATGAGACCCTATGTTCTCGGTGTCATCCTTCGACAAATCACAGTAGGGTGTAAAAAAACAAAAAAACAATTCTATTGCTGTAATCATGATGTGTAGAATGGCTTCTGCGAAGTAATTGAACACATTGTGCACCTAATGACAGCAGTCATTACAAATTACAATCTTGCAGTGCAACAAAATACAACAAAATGAAAAAGAAAAAACAGTTACTTCAGCCGTCGCTTCTCTAACTGTTTCTGTAATGAATAACAGAGAGGAAAGCATTATTCCCCAAGAAACTAGAAAAGGCGCAAACGAAACCAATGAAGTGAAATGTTTACACAGTACGGCAGAGCATTCCTGATAAATCACCAAACCACTCACGCTGACACTGGGAACTATTTATTGTAATAGGAAAATGTCTAAAAAGCTCCAGGAAGACACCAAAACAGAAGATTACACTAACATACTGTAACTCCTTGAAATAACTCCCAATCAAAGCCAAAGATTTTCCAGTTAACAAGTCTCTTTTTTTAATAAAGGAACCGGCTGTCCTCATAATGTCACATCTCAACCAGTGCAGTATGATGTATTGGGAATGACACACAGATGCACAAGGGCACCCATCACTGGGAAGCTCCAACCTGTCAAATATAATCGCAGAAGTGCATGTCTGTGTAACAGAAGCCACAGTGAGGGGAAATCCATGGTCACTCAAGGACAAAGGCGAGTTCACCAAACGGCGATTTCACAAGTCCTGTCAATGGCGGCTACACAGCTGACAGGTTCTGACTGAGAACCATGCATACAGCAAATGACCTGACCTAGCGACTGAAGCTATGGTACATGCCCTCTGGATACTTAGAGACCATGAAGCAGATACGAGTGATTTGCAGTTTAGCTTTACTATGAGCCTGGAAAAACAGATACTCTGAAAGAAATCATCAGGCTGCACCTTTGAGTTGCATGCATTTCCTTCATTAACTTTTCACATATCTTCTAAAATATTTTGGGTGTTGGAGTATGAACCATTTGCAAAAGATCATGCAAGTAGTTTCAACAGAGAAAACTCATGTTCGGGAGAGATGAGGATATTGAAATAAATGGTGTATTGTTTAAGCTGTTTTACAATCTTGAGCTTGTGCAGCTTTTTTCTGCTTGCATGTCATATTGATTTTGAATAGTACTTGAGTGAAAATATGTAGCAATCAATTGTCTAAATGGGAATGGAAGACTTAGGTAAAACCATCAAACAGAAATGTATCTCTGCTCCTTCCAGGACTGTACTAGTATGTGAGCATCTACCAAAAATGTAAATTAATTCATGATTTCAGCCTGTATTTTTTTCTTCTTTCCCTGACCCCGAGGATCATCAAGTCTGTTAAGCTGCACTTTCCCTTAAGGTGTCCTGGTGAGTACCATGTGTTTAGTGATAATTTCATAATCAGCACAGACAGGGGAATCACAGCGAACACACTCCAAATGCCAAGATACATTTCGATGAAAAGCAAGCTGAAGACAAACCTGACAGTGGTGAAATTGTGTTGTTTTATTTTTCATGCACATGTGGCAGCTTGCAACAAACCAACATATTATCAGGAGACACAGGAAGGAAGAGAAGATGGAACACCACTAAATGTATGATATACCTGCGGCAATATTCTGTACAAATACTTCTCTTGAAGAAATAGACCACCCAAAATGACATTTTTTTTCTCAAACCATTTAATAAACAGAGGAGTGCTTCCAGCACTGTGAAGTATTTTTTACAGTCAGCTAACTTTTGTGAAGCACAAAAACCGAACCTATGAATGAAAGATAAACATATCTGAATAATATTTATACTAATAATTCTATTATATATTATTTTTTTAAAACCATGTTAGCAGTTGCACTGTATCTACAGTCAGTCTGATGCAGGGTGCTTTGAGACATGTTTAAAAGGATCTGAAATTGATTTTAATAGCATGGATTGGGTTTGTCTTGGATCAAGTGATCCAGACTTTATGACAACATCCTTAGTGACTTATTTCTAAACTTGGTCCATTTAAATTGTAAAATGTAAGCCATTAATTTTCCCGAGGGTGACAAGCTTGACATATGTGTACAAAAAGTGTACAAACATTGCCCTACCAGAATGTATGATATACAAAACATTTGAGGCTTGCAAAACCTAATGGGTGAACTGTAGTATATTTAAAGGCACATCAATTTCAGGCGAGGTCTGTAGACAGGGAGACGGGCGTTAAATTAAACAGCACTGCATTACTGGAGCTGAGGTGCCCACTGCAATGAATGCATGCCTAAACGCTTTGAAGAAATGTCTCTTCCTAATTGCATAGCACTGCAATGGAACAGTCAGCCTCGTACAATGACCCGGCAGCCCACAATTCAGAATCCTTAAACGCTCAAGCCGCTTACATACTGTATGAACACTGAGCACCAGCACGCCATAGAAGGGAGAACTGTGGCCTCCTATAGCTCTAAGTTTACAAAGAACAGCGACCACCTCAAAGAGGGGACTGGCAAACAGCCAATGGTGTCATTTAATGAACATTTTCTAAATCTTTTCCTCATGTTTTAGACACTGATTTTTTTAATGCATCTCTGCCACTAAAATATTCTTTTCACTATCATTTAGCAATATTTATTAAGACCCTGCT